CTCCCCCCCTCCCCCCTCCCGACCTCCTCACTTTCGCTTTTCGCTTTTCATTCTTGCCTGTGAGTGGGATGCTAATGATGCACGTCTCCTTCTCTTCCACTCCCACTGCCCCGCCCCCGGGGCGTGGAGCATCAACTAGTGTTCAGGTCAAGTACGCATGATCATCAAAGGTCGACAACGTCTCCGCTACTACTGGCGTTATCCACGCTCTCTTGCATCATTCGATGAGCTCACCGTTTAACTCGGAAGCACCCGCGTTCTGTCCATCAACAGGTCTCCGCTACAGCCGAAACACCCCGACTTTCGTCTTTCGTGGGCCTCTCCCACGGTTCGACCCGCCCCGCCCCACCTGCCTGTGTTTATGTGCTTACCTCGCTAATCTCCTTGTTTTTTATCTGTGCGTGCTGCACGCATGAGTTATCACCTCCACCACGCTCAGACAGAAGACGGCCAGCCTTGATACTCCAGTTTTCCTCATAGGCGAAGCTCACCACACTCCCGGTACCCCGCCCTCTCCCCTCAAGTGCTGGTAGGATTGCTGATGATTATCTTTCCGGAGTAGTATAATAAATTCATGATTCATACTTGTGTTACACACTCGATGAAGCATTCGCGCTCTCTATCCCCTTCTCTTCATCACTACTCTTCAACTCCACGCTCATCTTCTTTGTTTGCTGCAGATCTTGCTTTTCTCGATAGACTCACAATGGCCGAATCCGGCTGAGTTCATCTTCTCAACTGATCTTGGTGCGTAGCCTTCACTGTTCTCTGTCCATGTCGTAGTGTAGAAGGGTTTCTCACAGCTTCTTTCTCTCAATAGGCTTTCACTCGCCCACGCAAGCCCAGCTGCGAAGACCGCTATCAATGTCTACCGACTCCGGACGTCCACAAATTTAGGTATTTGACCCCACGACAAGATACTTGTGCTCCTTTTATAGTACGTCGAACGCGCAGCATGAAAGGATGTAATTTATAGTTATCCCTGTCCGAATATGACACAATCACGATGTGGACTTACTCTAGCAAACTGAAAACACTGCTGCTCTCTACTATCATTTTGCCTATCAAAGACATAACTCGACCAAGTTCACTTACAATCTCTCGTCAACCCAGGCAGTTCTCTGCTGTGAACCAACCTTCACCGGCCTTCCACTCCCTGATCTCAGTGACACACAAAGGCAGTTCAATGCAATAAATCTCCTTGATTATCGTACCCTTATCTTGGCCAGACTTCTCACCACTCCCTGGTGTCTCCAGTGCACACTTGAGATGAGCCCCCACAAATTTCCATTTATTCACACGCTGCTCACAGTTGTTCCAGCCAAAGCTCTGGGCTTTCATCAGGCACACCAGTCTTGCAGGCTGAACAGGAGTGGAACGATTCGGTGATGGTGCGCCAGTGCAGGACCACAAGCACCATCCCCAGCAGGGCGGTCAGACACCACCCGACCACCATCAGCACAAACCACCTTTCGGGGTGGGGCTGAGTCCACTGTACGGTTGTATGTTGTGTTGGGCTATGCCAACACGCTGCTTGCGTACCGTTCTGTTGACGTGGTAAGGTTAAGGCTTCTGGTCTACACCACACAGGATGAGGTGATGTACAGGGTGTAGGGCTAATGAGTTGTGTGCATGATCGTAGAACGTCCTGTTACGATCTCCAATCTGGGAATGCACCACGCCCTCTCTGCTCTTGTATGATACCTGACATGCAGAGGATCAGCTGCCATCGTCCATGACTGGTGGGTATGGGCGGTGGCACCTTCCATTGTGCTGAATAACAGGTGTGGATGGACGACTGAACAACACAGAGCTCCTCTTTCACCAACGCCTCCACAACTGTACATGTGGCCAACTCATAGCTTTCCGTCTTTTGCTCCATCACGTAGCCTTTATGATGTAAAGAGGAAGGGTCAGTAGCAAGAAGGAGAGTTGTAAGCCCACAGCGGTGGGCCACGTACTGAAGGACGAGAAGAAGGCTGAGCAAGTGACGATGAGCAACAGAGTCCTGATCAAGCCCTCCATCACGCAGAAACGCCAGTTGATGGTCTTTCGAGGCTGCCCAAGTGGTGCGTACATCTTTCAAGCCTTCTCACGCCGTTTTTTTTGTTTAAATCATGAAAATAATGTGTAAAAAAATGAGGTAACAAAAAGGTAAATAAATCCAAAAGATGCAGCAGGTGCGAAGGCTCGGCAAGTTGCAAGCCCACTCGTCCGTGTTGATGGTGTGCGACGTGCAGGAGCGCTTTCGCTCTGTTATCACCCACATGCCTTCCGTGCTTCACGTTGCTCGTACGATGGTAAAAAATCAATCCTCCTACTTGGGTGTAAAAATCAATCCTGACTTGGTGCGTCTGTGCAGGTCAAGGCAGCGCCCCTTCTTCGCGTGCCCGTGCTGGTGACCGAGCAGAACCCCAAGCGGCTCGGTCGCACCGGTGAGTTCTCTCCTGCCCCTCTTTCCGCACCATGACTGAGGACGTCAAGGGGGTCTAACACCGTAGCCACTGCGCACGTGCCGTGGTGTGTGGTGTGTCGTGTGTGGTGTGTAGCGTCGGAGCTGGGCGTGGACGAAACGGAGGGCGTGCGAGTGTTTGAGAAGCTCAAGTTCTCGATGTTGACCGATGAGGTCCGCCAGACTCTCGAGCGCGACCACCCCGAGCGCAAGGACGTCCTCCTTCTCGGCATCGAGGTGCGTCCCTCCTACAGAGCTATTTCCGAGGGAGCTTGGCTGACTAACCTTTCTGGCGCGCCAACGACACTGCAGGCTCATGTGTGCGTGCTGCAGACTGTGCTGGTAGGTCGCACCTCTTCGCGCGTTTTTGGCGCATGTTGGTGCCTGACTCTGCGTGGTGTGTGCGGTGTGTGGTGTGGTGGTGTGGTGTGTGTGGTGTGGTGGTGTGGTGTGTGCGGTGTGGTGTGTGGTGTGTGGTGTGTGAACAGGACCTGCTCGAGGGTGGGTACAACGTGCACGTGCTGGCCGATGGCACTTCGTCTTCGCGTCAAGCCGACCGGCTGCTGGCGCTCCAGCGTTTCAGTCAGGCGGGTGCCTACGTGACCACGAGCGAGAGTGCGCTCTTCCAGCTCATGCAGTCGGCCGAGCACCCCTCATTCAAGGTGAGCATCCTAAAACCAAACGACGACTTTGTGTTCGTCTTCTCCAGAAGCTGATCGTGTTGGCATGCTAGGCTATCTCGGCGCTGGTGAAGGAAGAGCGACCCGACTCTGGCCTTTCCCGTCTCTAACGACCCGACGCTACTTGCTGCTCATGAGATTGAAGCTGCAACAGTTGCTCGAGGCCATTTATTTATCTTCTGCTATCAGAGTCCTTTGCTTTAGCTGTTGGTCGCTTGGCTTCGTGTCGTCTTCCACGTCGTTGCTTGCCGCGCCAGGCCAGGGAGCGCTCGTTCAGTTCGCGAACGATGGGGGCGCCACCTTCGAGCATCTGGCGTCCAATTTCCAGCGCTCCGACTAATTGATCGATGCGCAGCCGATGCATCGCGCCGCCCTTCGGTGGCTTGCTTCCGTCCTCGCCATCGATGGAGAGATGGGGGTACCACACGTCCTGGAAGAGATTGTCGAGTATGATGCGCTGGAAGCAGTGGTTCAGGCGAATGGGCCAGCGGGTGGCGGTGCCGGTATGCTTGCGTGCCTCGGCGGGCAACACGTCGTTCGTAAGGTGCTTGTACTCCTCGAGTAGGTCCCGTCTTCGTCCTTCATCTTCCACTTGAGCCGCTACTCGCAATTTAATCTCATTTTCCGATTTCACCAGCTTCGTCTTTCTCACCTCGCCTTCAGCAACTGCGTCGCAGACGCCGTCCTCGTTGCTTCTTCTCTCGCATCCCGCTTTCCTCTTGGGCATCTTGCCGTGCTGCAGGCTGGCGTTCTAGCCGCTCCTCCCGCAGGCTGCCACCTCTGTCACATCTCACAAGATGCGTGGGAATGAGCCATCCCACCGTCATCGCTCGGCACAAGATCACTTGCTCCTTGAGCTGTGCTTGTTGGCGGTCGACAACAAACGCCCACCTTCAAGGAAGAAGAAACCAACGAACCTAAAAAAGAATAGACAACATGGAGACGCACGACACGGCAGGTGCGAGCGTGGAGAGTTGAGCGGCGAGTGATTGAACACTACACTAACCACGACGGTGACCCACCACGGCATTGCACAGGCGGCTGGCGGTTGCAGCTGGCCAGCGACTTGCACCTGGAGGCCTTTGTGGGCTCGTTCGGCCTCACCCGGTAACCCCCCCCCAAATACAAACCTCTCCATTTCCCTCTCGCCAGAGGTGCTAACACACTACTCCACACGTACCAGGTTTAAAGAGCTGCTGCTGGAGAAGTACAATGCGCCTGGGGGTGCGCACACCGCTCGAAAGCCAGCAAGCTTTGTCAAAGGCCTTTTGGCGCTGATGTTTGTTTGGTGCGCGTGTTGGCGGTGCCAGGCGAGATCCCTGTGCTAGGCGAGTGCCTGGCGCTGTTGGGAGACATTGGTATGCAGCCGGCCTTGAGCTTGTCGTCTCGTGACGAGACGAGATGGCTAACAGCGTGCGTGCGTGCGTGGGTCGTCATCTTGTTGCGACAGGGTATCCCACCAGGGACACCTACAGGGAGTTCCTTCTGCAGCAGGCCGAGAGGTACTACCACTCCAGATCTGTGATTTGTTAAAATTGACCTCTCATGATGGGCCATCGTTAGGTTTGAGACCGTGCTCGTGGTGGCCGGCAACCACGAGTTCTACGCGTACGTTGTGGCCCACAAGTAAGAGACCGCACCACCTGACCCGGCTCACCGGTCGTATAAATGTTTCGTTCAGTGTGGGCTCAGTCACCCCAGACTACGACGAGACCAAGGCCCGCATCCGCAGCATCTGCAGTGAAGCGCCAAAGAACAACCTCCACTTTCTCGACCGAACGAGTCTACTGTACAAGGTATCGTGATTCGAATCATCTGTTGACTATGCAGATCACGAGTATCGATCGTCATGACATTCATGACTGTCTACCTCGGCTTCACGCTCCACAGGGCTACCGCATTCTGGGATGTACGCTCTGGTCTCACATTCCCGTAGACACGCCCGACGCCGCCCTGATCGAGGTTCCTCCTCCTGGCATTCGTTAGTCTCCAGTTCGTGGCGTTTTGTATTGTCAGCATCGCTCACCGCACGGACATGCCTATCGCACAGAAATCAAGCAGCGACTATAAGAAGATATTTGTGATTGATGCTGAGACTGGCCAGAAGCGGAAGTCGACCGTGCGAGACTCAGTTGGTTGGCATGAAGCGGGTGAGCTCAAACGCAGGCACGCGTGCAATGGCTTGTACTCACCTCACGTCTTCTCTTCCATGGTTTACCAGATGTAGCATGGCTCAAGGAGGAGTTGGCCATGGCGGTGGAACGCGGCGAAAAGGTTCTGACCTCGTGACGTTGATGTCTCTGTATGGGTCCCTCAGTGAGGTTTATCGGCTGACGATGTAGCATCGTCATTGTGCCGCAGGTGGTCGTCCTGACGCACCACGCGCCTACTTTCGAAAAGACATCGAGCCCCAAGTTTACACGGTCGGTGATGACCAGCATCTACGCCTCCGATCTGGCGGCCATGTTCGGCGACCCCGTCGTGGCCTGGCTCTTCGGTCACACCGTACGTCCACGCTCTTCTTCCTCAATCTGATTCGCCTTACCTTCACACTTGCGTTGTCGCCGTATGTTAGCATTGGAGCTCGACGCAGAAGGTGGGCTCTACGTTGGTGGCCAGCAACCAGGCGGGCTACTTCAACGAGGCCGGTTCCACCAACTACGATCCGTTCTTCTGCCTCTCTTTCCCTCCTTCCTCTTCATCGGGCCTCCTCACCCTGTCCACCAGCTAAACAAATAAATGTGGATAAAGAAATAAACACAAAAGAAATAAATAAATGCAAAAAGAAATGCAGGAATAAGGAGGGGCACTAATTACAACACAAACGATTTGACCCCTAATCGTACTACGAGAAGAGGACGAAGCTTAGGTACTCTTCGAGGGGATGGAGGAGCAGAGGAGGAGATTCTCCTTCCCATCGGCCCATTCGGATCCAGTCTTGGGTTCATTGTTCGAGGCGAGGGAGAAGATGGGGCTGGGCCAGCAGCTGGAGGGGCTGTACGGCATGGAGAACCTGGGACAGGCGCAAGCCAAGCTCCAGGGCATACACAGGGGGGCGGATGAATTCCTGTCCTACATCGTGCGATCGTTCAAGCTCGACTGGCAGGCCGCGTTCGTTCAGTCCATGGTCGATCTCGTGCTCGAGATGCAGAACGTTTCGGCCCACATCGCCCGCTTGATGCAGAACTTTGAGCACTACATCCTCTTCTCTGTACGCAGAACAACGGCCTCCCCTCTCTTCTTTCCTTTGGCCTGTTTCCATCCATCCATCTCCCTCCCAGCCGTTAATCGTTGGGCCGGCAACAGGAGCGGCATCGACTGAACGTGGCGACCAACTCCCTCGGCTTCTTGGGGGTCCTCCCTCCCGGTATGCCACTCCTCTTGTGGTGTACAGGAAATGCGCGTGTCGTGTCGTGTCGTGCGTGTCGTGTTGTGTCTGGCGCTCTTGAACTGATGGCGTCGTGCACGCATCCAGAGATACTGCAGCACATCCTCCAGTTTCTGGGGCCGAAGGAACTGCTGCGTCGCGTCCCTCCACTCAACCGACATCTGAACGAGCTCACCAATGACAATGCCCTGTGGAAGGCCATGTGCAGGTTCTCCATTCTCATCTCCTGTCGTGTCGTGTGTCGTGTCGTGTCGTGTCGTGTCGTGTCGTGCTGCGTCTCATATGTTGTATTTTGCCCCCCCCCAATCGTAGGAAGCACATACCATCACACCCCGTCGAAATGGAGTTCTGGTTCCTCAAGCGCGTGGAGAAGGAGGCGCTGCTCAACCAAGGCGGCAAGCTGGGCAAGCACCACAGCCGCCTCAACTCGGCGCGCTCGCGCGAACGGGCTTCTTCTGCTTCATCGTCATCACAGCCCTTTGCCAGCGGCAGCGCCGACGAAGAGGCTGCGGCCCTGGACGACCGCGGGGAGAGCAGCAACGACGACATCGTCGCCCTCAACGCCAGCAGCAACAGCAGCATCAACGCCGTCGGCGACAATGACAACGACGACAACAAAAGCAGCAACAGCAACAACGACGAGGAGAGTAGCAGCCGAGACGAGCGAGCCGGCGCCGTAGCGTTGATGCCATCGCCGCAGCAGCGTCGCGCAACCTTGTCGCAATCGACGAACAGCAGCAGCAGCGGCAGTGGGCCGAGCGAGGCGGTGGTGGCCGACAAGAAAAGAGACAGGGACCGTAACCATCCGTTCTACAAGGAGGAGAGCGACAAGTCCTTCCTGTGGGGCCGTGCCGGGCCACTGTCGTCGTGTTCGACGTCGACGTCGACATCACTCGACCCGGATGCGGCGGCCAACGCGGGCGCAGCGTCGGTCCTGCCGCCCAAGATCAAGAGCGGGTGGCGAGGCGTGTTCCGCAAGTACCACCAGCTGGAGCGCAACTGGAAGGACGGCAACTGCGCCGTGAAGACCCTCGTGTCTCGACGTCGCGTCTATTGCATTCTCTTCTCCGAGGAAAAGCAACTGCTGTGGAGCGGCAACGCCAAAGGTACGTACTGAGCGTCTGATTTGTTCTTTCTTTCTATGTTTTATTTTTTATTATAATTATTCGAACGTACAGCTTACAAATATGTGTTATATTTTCAATTTAAAAACCAGGAACGATAAAGCGACTGGACTTGATCAACTACTACCCGCTGCGGGAGATCAAGGCGCACGACTCGGCCATCAACTGTCTGCAAACGCTGGAGAATTGCAACACCTCGTGGGACGACGAAAACATCGCCTACCGAAGTCGATCACGACGAGGGTACCACGTCCAGTTATTGTTTGCATAGTACTTGGTGGTGGGTCGGCGGAGGAGCAAGACTCACACTCACTGGGCAGGGAGCAAGACCATGTCAGGCAGCTGAAGTCAAGCCGAGAGGAGACGCGCGAGGAAGTGGCCGGGCTCGTGCCTCCCAGTAACGACAGCAACGACCTTCTGTTCTCATGTTCTTCCGATAACACCATCAAAGTCTGGCGGCAGAGCATCGTCTCCGACGAACCGCTGTCTGTAATGGGCGAAGGTACTCCACCTACGGCGCCGCGTGTGTGCGTGTGCGATGATGTTTTTAATCACCGTTTTCTCTCGCTTGGCCTCTCAGAGCAGGGTGGTCACCAGGGTCCGGTGCAAATGATCAAGCTCTGCGACGACGGCAACAAGCTCCTCTCCTGTTCTCTGGACCAAACCCTCAAGCTCTTCGATGTGAATACGTCCACGTGCATTGCCACTCTCAAGGTAATCCCACGACACGACACTCTTTCGCCTCTTCCTTCTTCGCTCCAAACAGTTTGGACGGTGCGTGTCGTGCCGTGCCGTGTCGTGTCGTTGGTCGTGTCGTGTGCGTGTGCGTGTGCGTGTGCGTGTGCGTGTCGTGTGCGTGTCGTGTCGTGTCGTGTCATCTCGCGTGTAGGATACGACCGCCGTGCGCTGTGTACAGTTGGACAAGCAGACGGGATGTATTATATCGGGTGGCAGTGATGTACGTCTCGTCTAGCCGTCTACTTGAGTGCTTCAAGTTCGTCGACTGTACCTAAGCCGGTAACCGGCACACGACACGCACACGACACGCACACGCACCTGTCGGCGGGATGTATTATATCGGGTGGCAGGGAATGATCAAGCTGTGGGACCCACGCCTGAAGGGGAAGGGCGACTACGCCGCAGATTCGAGCGGGCCTGTGGCTTGCGTGTACAGAATTCCGACAGGTGCGCGTTTAGTCCTCCTCCTGCAACGCAGTTTACTGTCGCATGCGAGCTTCTTTATTTATTTAATGATAATGTGGTTTTTCTCTTATCTCTGGCCATGATTCGTTCTGTGCGTGTCGTGTGTCGTGTGTCGTGTGTCGTGTGTCGTGTGTCGGCAGGGCTGGGCAAAGTAATGTGCCTGCAGGCCAACAATTCCAAGCTTTTCGTGGGCGGCGACAGCGACCGCAAACACAACTTCCCCATCTTCGTCTACAATCTCCAAAAGCTGACCGGTACGATCGTCGCACGCGCGACTGTGTGTCGTGTGTCGTGTGTGTGTCGCCATCGGCTTCACACCGGGGAGTCTCACATGCGTTGGTTGGGTCTGCGCAGGAGTCGTGCGGCACTATGGCAAGTCGTTGATTCCATGCACCTCATCGGACTCCTACGCGGTCCTCAAGGAGGCCGAGTTCATGGGCCACAGCGACCGCATATGGACGCTCCAGGCATCCCTCGGGCGACTGGTCACCGGTGCGCTCCCAACCCTCGCCTTCCAACGGAAACATGACACACGCTAACAGCACACGCACCACCGCACACGC